ACAGACAGGAGATAAAAGAGTTCATCGGGCAAGAAGTTCAGTGGATGAACGTTATCTTGTTCGATGAACTCTTTTATCTCCACTGAAGTTGCACTGCAGACGACCTCCTAGATTTTACTCTTTTCCTTAAAGAAAATCACGTCATTTCATTTCTGTAGGAATTTTATGATTATGGCAATGCACGGCAGGGCTATCTATCTAGGCAGCGGGATTCTTTTTAAAGGCCTTGCTTACAATCCTTGCAGCCAGCCCATTCATCGACAGCCAACCTACGCTCAATGGTCTCAGCCCATTTCTGAACTGATACACCGATCAAGTTTCTGTAATCAATTACGGCAACGTATGCTTGGATTATCTATGGTGAAGCACTCATAGAAGTCTACGAAAAACTGTTTTGTAATTATATAAACTCTCAACTATATTGCACATGCGTAAGATTCCCCCCCCCCGAAAAAAATGCCTTACAACCTACTGGGATTCGAACTATCAGTGTTCAGCGGTGGTATGCCCTCAGCTACTGTTGGATTTTGCGGAATTAAGATCGAAGAAATGGGAAAACACGCGATTGCGAAATCTGCGAGCTTGGGCATTGAGTTTTATCCTTTAGAGCAGACATGTCACACTCAGTACTTTAAAATGGACCAAATACTTCTCAGAGTGCAATAATGCGGATCACAAGGAAAAAAAAAAAAAATGCCACTTTCATAATTAATTATGTACTTAAAAGTATAAATATATAAAATCTTACCTAAAGCTGCAGTTTTTTAAAAAAGGCAGAAACATAAATAAATCTTGGTTATAGATGGACTGCTATTGTTTATTTCGTGGCACTTGACATCTTTTTCCTGAAACCAGCTTTCCGATATCTGGAGACATTCTGCTCATAATAACGATTTTGACAGCACATGTGGATCAATGGCAATGGATTTCGCTAGGCTTGTTCCTTTTCAATACGTGAGAAATATTTTTCACTCTGATACGTAACTACCGAACATGGAAATCACGTAAGATGCAAATTCGTGGTTTTCTGACAACCGTCAATTTTTGCAGACAACAAATATTTGTAAAATTCGGCCATGCCCACATCACTGAATTTTTGCTTTCGCAACGAATTTCTGTTCATTCCATCAAGTGAATGGGCTGTCACATTTTCATTGCTGGTTGAGTGAATACGTTTTAGCACCATATTTTGATTTGGCTCGACGTTGGGTAAAATATTCAATTATATATTTTATTTTCTCGAGGTTAATCATGCAGCCCGCAAGTTGACATGCCTTCTTTAGGAGTTTCTTATTGTTGTATAAGGCTGCTGCTTACAGTATACGAATCCTGAGTTTTCGCTTCAATTTTCATTGTTGATGGAAAATCGGTGAAAATGCTGCAGAATGAAATGCCGCATTCAACAATATTTGTATTGAATTCATGCCCATAAAAATCCCTAAATTGCGGGTAATAATACTAAAGATGTTTATCAACACTACGAGAGCCAATTATTGATTGCCATGGAAGCAACACCAATCAACAATAACACAAAAATTTGAAACATGAAAATCTCCAAAAAACTTTCGAATACAAACTTTATGTTTATATTCCAAAGATTAGCCTCCAAAAGTTTACATTCCGGTTCTGGTTAATGACGTCAACTCGACTAGTAAGCCTCAGTTTACATTATAAACTTGAGTTTTTAGTTTGGGTTCGTTGAAGGTTTATAAAATATTGAAATTACTGGGCAATGAAATGACTTTTTTTAAATCGAATGCTCCCTTGTTTCATTTTTGTTTGATGGAATTATAGTCAGATTAACAGCTTAATTATATATATTATTACTGCATACGTATAAGGACAGAAATAGGATATAATTTATCAAAACTGTTTAGGATCTTATTTCCAACAACGGGTGCGCATATTGTCAAATATAGTGTTTATTAAACAGTGAATAGCTACCATATCAGTAAAGTTTCATACTTAATAATACGAGTACATCAGAAAAACAGTTAAATGAACACAGTGTCAGAAAACAATTAGCGTATAATCCACGCGCAATGTTAATACTTGATTTCATCAAAACTTAAAGCACGGAATGGTAATACAACTTCCAGCAAGGGATTAAGGTGGTTTCTTACCGGACGAAAACGAAACCTGCCAGAAGCAACCAATGAGGCCGACTTTTTTTTCGCGCTCTCAATGTCGTCATTAATGAGATTAAATTGAAGCACGCTTTTGATAATCAAAGCTGCTACCGGAGTCAGCCCGTAATGACTGGCCCCAAAGATCTTCGACACCGTTTTCAGGTTTTGCCAAGGTTCATGACATCTCAGAACTTGCTGATTTAAGGTTATCGTTCGGGTCGATTTCCCTAACCGCTTTGGACAAGTTATTGTAAACTATTAAAGATTCTATAAATACGGAAGTACTTATAAACGCTTCATTTTAGTGAAACATAAACGATAATTAAGATGACAGCAGAATTTTCCGAAAGTTAAAAAATCTACTTTCTTTGGCACAATGCAACTCATTTACCAAAAAATAAACAAACCTGAACAAGGTTTGGACAACTATTTATGAAAATAGACTATTGCCAGCTTAAGGATGGTATCAAACTCTCACAGGGGAAAAAATGTGTCACAGGATTTCACAGATACTACTGAAAGGAATAGACCTATGAAAGAAGAAAATAAGCATTTGCTTATTTGGGAAAGTTTGAGAAGATGAAAATAAGCATTTGCTTCTACACTGCATAGAACTTGTTTTTGTATCGATGGATGTATATAATGTATGTATTTTTGCATAGGTACAACATTACATCCTCTCATATACTTGTGAAGCTCTTGGGGAAAATTTCTTAACAATCATACATGTTGAAAAGGTAAAAGAAATGTGTTCTATGCATTCTTTATTAAAACACAAGGAGGGGAAAGGAAATAAATTATAATATATGCAAGCACAGAGACATGAAAAATATACCTTGAAAATTTTACACTCTTGCATGGATACTCAAACACATAACACAAAATATTTAAAAACTGGTTTAATAAATAAATAATCAGAATCTTTCCATTACAGTTTACAAAAGTAGATTGAAATAGGATATAAAATTAATTCCTGCCCTCCTAACAGTAGATGATGTTTTAATGTAATATAAATGCTGTTTAAACATTAATGATAGAAATATTACCAGTTTCCTAATTTCTGACTGAAGCTCGTAAGGAACTGGTAGAAATTACACTTTGCCATCCAGATACCTCATATCATATCACTTAATTTTACGTTACAGTAAGAATTACAGGGTTTAATTAATTGATACATTTTCTTATGCTACTGTTAACAGAAATTCCAACAGAAATGTAAGAAATTTATTAGTAAGTAGTTTGAAATAAACTCACATGATCAGATGGTTACAGTAAGAATTACAGAGTTTAATTGATACATTTTGTTATGCTACTATTAACAGAAATTCCAACAGAGAGGTAAGAAATTTATTAGTAACTAGTTTGAAATATATATAAACTCATATGATCAGATAGTACTGACCTGGAATTAAAATTATGCTTTTTGTGCAAACTTTTCAAATCTGTCATTATGCAGATAATTGATAACTTCTATTTTAGGATACAATATGCTCAGTAAAACTTAAATACTTACATTGTTTTTGTAAGTAAACAAGATTTTTAAAAAATTAATTCTAAAAATGAAGAATATCATTACAAGGTTGAGAATATTACAAAAATATTTACTGAAGTAAAAAAAAAAAAAAAAAATTACATTTTCCCTGTAGATTTCTGCACATTCCTCATAATTACTGCCATGGCCTGTTAAAATGTGAAATTTTTTAAAAATTTTCTAAGATATTTTATGATGGATAAAGCTTTTGTTTTTAATGAACACAAACTATTTGAAACCTCCAAAAACTTTCAAAGACATTTAATAAAAATTATATTCTACACTTCACATAGTATGAACATTAAAATTTACCAAAAAAATTATAAAGAAAATACACAAAGTCATTAATTCATTTACATTTCAGTCTGTCATTACATACAATAGAACATAAGACAGGTTAAAAACTTGATATGCAGAATCAGGATAACATGTAAGGATCTTTTTTTCATATAAATGAGTTTTGCAAAAGGAGTAAGGATCCAGTATGCCATTGAAAAATGCAAAACAAATTTTAGTATACCATACTATATAAATCACAAAAATACCATGCACGTTCATATTCATATCAAATATGCAGATCAAACCCAATAGTAATTCCTTTTTGAGACCACATTAAATGAATCACATTTGCACCACATTAAATGAAAATAATACAAACTTTCCCTTTTAGCAATGCACATTGTTTTTGTTTCTTTTAGAAAGTGTGCAAATACAAAAACAGTAATAGAAACTGATAAATTTATTCAGATAAAATGATAATAAAAACTGCTTATATTCAGAAGAGAAGTTGCAGGGGACATACTCTTAATTCATAGCCAGTTATTTGCATTGGCTATTTGGGTATAATAATTCAGATGCTAAACTGTAGTTGGATTTATAACAACAATTGAAGCACACTACTTGCTTCAATTACTACTACTAATACTAAAGTTAGATTCATCCAAACTGAAATTATTAAGTAATGTTCAATACGCAGATCGAAATTTTATTGTATACACAAATGCTTGCATGGCTGCGGCACTGTTAAGAAATAATTTCAGATCCAGGGAAAGCAGCATTTTCCTGTACATGTATTTCATTGAATTCTATGACTCCAATCACTACCAGTATCAGATGTCAACCATGTAAGCTAAAAGTGAATTTCTGATCAATATGCATGAAATGTTTCACTAGTTAATGATTATTAATAAATAATTTAAAAATTATTCGCAGAACTAAACCAGAATGCATGCATGTTATAAAGTGCTTGAACGTGGTGCAGAATTATTGATGAGATACTAATGCAACTGCAACTTTCTCCTGTCACATTATCGTAAAATTCAAAACACATGTGTACTCACCGTTTGCCGTCACGATATACAAACACACGCGGAATCAAATCCGATACGAAAGGGTAAGCTCTCACTTCTTTTACGCACCACGTTGTTCTACCAACACTGATGCCAATATAAAGTCACAAATCACATGCCTAAAAATGTATTTTATATGCTACGATTACAACAATCCGTACAGTCACCAACGTTGCCAAGTCCCCAGTACTTGTGCCAAGCACTTAATGTTTAAGTGGAGCAGACGATGACTGCCGTCTTAGTTGAAAGAGTTATGGATGGTTCTTCTTGCTCGCACTCAGTTTCTCGCAGAGAGAGTAGGGTTGCTGTACTAAAATTTTCACCCGAATGGGCACATGGTTTGTCGCCAAGCCGGTTCTTTTGGTTTTTAGTTTTTGGGCTGCTAAGTTGAAGTTTTATTCTTTTTTTAAATCGTTAAATTTATTTTCACAAGCAAATATTCTTGCGCTTTTTAAAATGAATATAGAATTTTAAATAGGAGGTATGCATCAAGCTTTTCTAAATAGGTTGTTATATTCCAAAATGGTTTGCCCTGCCTTCAACCATGTATTCCAGTATTAGAATTCTAAATGAAATAAAAGCATCCTAATTCCAGATTTTACTTGTTCATTTTCTTCAATTACTGGAGTGAAATAAGTTTTTAAAACAATTTGAGTGAAAGATTTTAATAGAAGTCTAAAATACCCCCCCCCCCAAAAAAAAAAAAAAAAAAAAAAAAAAAAAAACTGTTAACAAAAACTTGCTGTGTCGTTTTTTTTTCAGTGAGTAAAACAGAAGCTTTACTAACTAATATTTATATTTATTTGAAATAATTTGCTAAACTTTTGTTTTAATTTTTCAGTGAATAAGCACATCTTATTGTTTAACAATTTAATACGGAGAAGGGAATGAAATATATATAATTTATTATGTGACATATGTTTTCAAGCCTTTCATCAATATATTATCTTCAGATTATTATTTTTAAGTTTACAAAGTTTTTCTACAAAAACTTTACTGTACTCAAGGTTAGCAGCCTCTTTACTTTTAACTTCAAATATTTTTCAAGATTCATTTTTAAATGCTTCTAAATTACTTCATTCAACTACAATTCTGCTAACTTTCCCAAAGGAGATAATATGCTCAATAATCCATTAGTAAATAAATATATATATATATATATATATATCAATGTTGATGTTAGTTCAAATATTGATTTTTTTATTTTACTTTATTTCAGTATTTTTATATTAGCCCAGAAGGGCTATTAATTTCGTTTTGGCATTTTGCGTTGGTTCACTAAATGTCGGTTCACTTTTCAAATTGTTGCCACCAAATATTATCGCCCCGTGTTATAAAAATTTAAATAATGAAGAATCTGCATGAATGTATATATGTTTCTCGCATTGAGCCATCAAAATTTGAATAACGTAATCTTCCATACAATATGGGTATGTGGAAGCACTAATTTAAATTTAAAATTTGTTTTATTATCGATTTCCTATTTTGTAAAACTTCAACGAATTTTTGATTAACAAGCTAAACGATTTCAAAGGGAGCAATGGCAACACTGTACGAGGGGGGGGGGAGGAATTATCTCCAACACGCGAGACTCTGTATCGGAAACTCTAAAGGTATACTCATTTTAATATTATTTTGCGATATTGCTGTTGAACTGAATTTTATGGTTTAAGTGCGAAGAACATGATATTTAATAAATAAAGGTAACACACAAAATGTTAAAAAAAGAAACGTGGGAGTTTATAAATTATTTATACACAAACATTTACATATTTATTTGTATTTTATATTAGTCCAAAGAAAACGTTAACAAATAAGAAGAAGAGACTTATTTATTTATTCTCAAGTTTTGCTCCACTGGGTAAATTTCCTCTGAAAATTTAGAAAATTTCCATAATTCGTTTATTTTTAGATTCAGTTAAAGTAAGTTATCTAATAATTACCTAAACAAGTTAGAAAGATTTGAAAGATTTGATTTTTTTTTGGATATAATGAATATTAAATATATTTTAATTTATTCGATTTAGACAGATTATTCAAGAAAGATCTAAATTATTATTTATAGATAATTAATAGATTTAAATTATCAAGATATATGATAAAGATTTAATAATAAATGATATATTGTAATTTAATAATGTATTAATAGATAAATTTAATAATACATTACATAATTAAAATAGATAGATTGTAAAATTCATAGATAATAAGTAATAGTAATATAGATAATAATAATACATAACAAAATTAATGGATATATTTAATAACAATAATTACAAAAGTTATATTGTAAAGATTTAAATTATTAAGAAGCGCATTTATGTTAAACCGTCACATATTGACTATGCATAGGTTACATATTGATTAAATTGTTAAACCGTAAATTAAAGCTACATATTGACTAAATTGTTAAACCGTAAATTTAGTTACATATTGACTAAGTTGTTAAATTTTTACATACTGACTAAATTCAAATTACACATTAAAGATCTACTTCTGCAAATACATTCTAAATGATACTCTATGTGCGAGGCATTATGCGCACTAGCAAACACTGGCGTGTGCATGAGAATGTGTAGTAGCGAAAAATAACCTAGCATAAAGTTCTAAAAACGTTGGATCAACTTTTAATAATATTTCAATAGATATATTGTAATTGCAATTAATAGACCCCACTTTAAATAATACATATATTATAATTAAAATTAATGGATTACAATTTAATAATATACTAACAGGTAATTTTAACAATGTATTACATAATTTAGGTATATTGTAATATTAATAGATAATGAAATTAATAGATAGATTTAATAATATATTATATAGCTAATAATATATTATAAAGATTTAAATCATTAAGATGTTTATGTTAAACTATTTATTTGTATTGTTGTATTTAAACTGCACATGATATACGTCTGCGAATGGTAACAATCTGAATGGCACTCTATGAGCACTAGCAAACATTGGCGTGTGCATGAGAATGTGTGGTAGCGTAACATAACCTAACGCAAAGTTCTAAAAATGTTGGAAGGACGCCACTAAGGACGTGTCTTACGTCAAAAACGCTTTTATCTTCTTACATTGAAAGGCAGGCACCACGTGACAGCTTTGAGTGGGATGGAGAGAACCTCCTACCGCTCTGCCTATGAGTAACTCATGTGTAAGTTACACGTGACGAGTGAAAGAACATCCCTCAGATCTGTTTCTTGTTGGAGTAAGTAGACTGGGCAGATGGAAACTTCGAGTTCGTACGTCAGTTGCAGAAACGTCACAACTCAAAAACTTGATTCATCAGTAACGAAAAATTAAAAGTGTAGCTTAAAATCTTTAAATTACTAACCTGTTGACTTGACAGAGAAGCTGCCAACAGTAAAATGCTTTTCTACATCGTTTAATATAGTGATTTCGGATGCAGAGGTAAGTAAGCATAACAAAACTGCATGTTAGTGGAAAAGTACACGATGGGCGTATTAATATAGGGCAAGGTAAAAGTAAAAAGTTGAAAATTATATAATTCTATGAGTCTAATATTTTTTCATTATTTAACAAAAAGAATTTGCACAATTTGCTATGCTACAGATGATTTAACATCCACGCATTTTAATTTGATCTCTCGAATTCTACCGTGAATCCTAACGTAAACTACTTGAAGGCTACCTGCGTAAGAAAAACAATGCCTTTGTGGAAGACCTTTTTATGTAACCTGGCTCGGATTTACGTCTTACATAGAGAAAACCATGAAAACTACTATGTAGCCAGCTCGTTAGCATAGATTTGAGGCTGGATCGAACTACCAGTGTCCAGCGACTCAACCACTCGGCCATTGGTGGGCGAAAACAGACCAGAGTAAAAACTAAGCTAAAATTTTATTTCTGCTATTGGTTTTTGGATCTAACTAAAAATGTAACAAATTTATTCACCTCTCCTTACAGAATCATGGAATACAGAAAATATAAATATAAACATCATAATGGTAAGATTTAGTGTCTATCAACTCGATTCTAAACTACGCGCGGTCTCTAAACGTTGTATCACACATTCAAAACATTCGAATCGAATCAAATTGATGAAATTTTGGCTATGGTACAAAACATCTCGGAAGAACAACTATTTAGTGAAATTTTTCTGCTTTATCACGTTACCTAAAAAACATCCAGTCACCATGCATCACTTTGGTGTTACCATGTGAAGGAGAAACTAGTTCATTCTCAAAACTAAGTACTAGTTCAAACTACTTCATTTTCTTCTTCTGCTCGTTACTTTTGTGCCGCAGTGCAACAAGAATGTCTTCGCCCGATAAAATTAGTAATATGGGATGAACCGTAAGTATAATTCTACACATCTCACTGCACATCGGAATCGCAACCGAGGGAGGAGCTTCTTAAGCGGTCCAGTAGGGTTCGAGTAGTATTTTATGCTGTGTCACGTGACATTTTTCGCCTTTCGAACTTTGTTGCTCTTAGAGCAAAATGGTTTAAAATATCTTGCCACGCAATTTCTCCTACAAAATACTTAAAACAACTTTCAAATTTCCAATCCGAAATTAGACCATATAAAAGTAACTGAGAAGATTTCTTTATTTGGTTGACGGCATTTGAAAAGGAATGCAGATACATGCCAGATACTGCGAACATCTACGAAAAGAATGCAAACAACGCCTTTCAAAGATTTAACGTCACAAGAGCTGTAGAAGCCCATTGGGCCATACTCAAAGCCCCTCCCTCCGTAGCGATACCGATGTACACTTAGGAAATAGACTAACCATAAACTTTGTCGAATCAAAATTCTAAAAAATCATCAAATTTTGAAGATTTCTCATCTATATAAGATTAATCATAAGAAAGTAAAGCTAATTTTTAAAAGTTTTCAATTAAAATAAAATTTGAAATCGGCATATTGACGAATACATTTATTAAAAATACACTTGTATTTATTAAGAAGGACATAAATGAAATTTTGAATCTTGAAATTCATTTTTGCGATATAATTTGGCTAAAATTTTTAAAATTAGATCTGTGCAGAAGAGAGATAATTATTTCAAGAGTTAACACAAATAAAAACGCTAAATACAGAACATAAATTTTTTACTAATACTCTCCATAACGTTAATTAACTAAGTCTTACTATAAGGCAGTTAAACTTTTAAATAGGAACTTATGGATAACTTTTTAACGTCAGAAAGTTAATACGGTCAGAAAATACGTCAGAAAGTTAAAAGCAGTGGTTTTACATAACCATTTGTCGAAATGCTAAAATTTGAAATTTTGCGTTTATATCGCTTTTCTTTACTTCGCGTGAATATTGTTTAAAACATGATATTGGCAACTTTTTACAAGGCCCTTTATTATTTTCTTTTCAGCCTTCCTTAGAAAGATGTTTAACGTATGTTTAGCGGACAATATGTTAACTAATCGTAACTTTCAAGAAAGCTCTTAAACACATTTTAATTTCATTACTAAAATGCCTCATGTGCCAAAACTACCGTAATCTGAATATTTTAATTGTTTCATTTTTCAAATTGGAATCATGGTTATCTGTTTAATGGATACTTAATTATGCAATTATTTTGGAACACACTCAATCTGGTTAGAAGAGAAACACAAAAATGCAAAAAAAAAAAATGTTTGCTGCTGCCGATGCTTCCAGTTTCGACAAAATTAGTTTGGCTTGAGCCGCTATGCTCCAAATGTGCGGAACCTCAGCCAAATTACACATCAGCTGCCATAAAAGCAGAAAACAATTTGCCTTAGATGTCATGTAGAAAACAATGTACCTTAAATGTCTTAGATGTGACGTAGAAAACAATTTGCCTTAGACCGTTATCACATATCCCTACAGTCCCTGCTAGACGGATTTTCTGAGAAACGAGATTCTGGTAGCACTAGTTTAAGCGGGAGAATTCCTAGAAAAAAGAGCCCCGTCTGAAGCGAAGTCTCACCCAACTATGGAAACAATGTTGCGGCTATACGGGATTTTTTCTAACCTCACCGAAAATGTCTAGGCTGGACCTTTGTCCCGAGTAGAGACAACCAATCAAACGAAAGTTCTGCTACTGAAGTATCACGTCATCCCAATCAGAGCCATGTTTGGCATTCAAGTCTTTGTAGTAAGTGAAAATAGTAACCTAGCTACGTGGGTTTCCTGGAATGGTGCGGGTTCTGCGAATTATCCCTTTCGACATCCAGTCCCGCATAGCCGAAACATAATGTGATTAGAACTAAGGGCCATTCACACTGGGGTTTATCTGAGCTAAAGGAGTCAGTTCCACGGGCCGACTAGTTCCGCTATAAGTGCAGCTCAGATTTTTCAACTCGCTTCGCTAAGAGGAAAAACTGGTTTCGGAGCTGCGTCATTTATGTCGGATGTTTTCGTTAGCTCAGATAAACCTCAGTGTGAATGTCTCTTTAGATGTCACGTAAGCAATGTGCCTTAGATGCCTTTAGATGTAACTTAGAAAGAAATGTGTTTTAGATATAATAGAGCCTCATCCTGTAATTTTAAGAATTGTTCCTGAAACTCTAAGAGCCTCAGAAGAAAACTCTTTCAAGGAAAGATGAAAGTTCCTCCCTCCCAAACGCCTTCCCGATTTTCTCCCAGAATCATTTAGCCAAAGACTGATAATATGAGCCACGTTGATGAAAAAAATCTGCAAATGAGTAGAACCATTTTTTTAAGGATAAAAGCTCGGAGATTTTTTAGGAAACTCACAGAGCTTTCAAGAAAAAAATTAGAAAGCCAAGTGTCTCTGGCAGAAACTGAAAGCTGGACTGGAAGCAGCGATTTTTAGAAGGAATTGATGCTAGCATATTTAATTGCTTGTTTTCCAATTAGATTGCTCTCCACACTTTATAGAATTTGATCTTTTTTAGTAATATAAACTAATATCAAACTTCTAACAAACTTGGAGCGAATTATCGCTGTGCCTGAAGTAACTACAGTCTCTTCAAAATGTTTAAATCAACCTGTTATTAAAACGGAGCTTGAACATTAACGCACTTCTTGTGCCTCATAATATCAACCACTACTTGTGACGATGTAAAAATTTAATCTAAGCCTAGCAGTCAAAGACTACACAACTGATTTAAAATTAAGTTGGCTCAGAATTTCTCACCGGCGTGGTAATTAAACGTTTGCAGCAAAAGCGTAACGTCGAAGAATTATAATCTTATCAGGGCTCAGAGTCGTAGCTAGGGTTTTCAGCGCCCAGGGACAACTGAAGATTTCGTGCCCACTACTGCTTGCCAAGGATGGAAAACATTTAATTCTAAAATGTCGTAACATCAGTTTGGCGCCCGTTGGATTCTGCGCCCAGGGACAGATGCCCCCCCTTGCCCCCCTCTAACTACGCCCCTGTCAGGGCTGGCGAAACCTACTAACGTGGCCTCGAGATTCCGAAACAAGTTAAAAACTTGAAACTCAGATTCTCTCTAACTGATTTACATTTCTGGTGAGGAAACGGAAAACAGGAGTTATAGTCAAGGCCTAAATCATAGGCCTAATCATTTATTATTATTAATCTTTTCCTCCCTGCCTTTTCTATTTTCCCCTTAGTGGGATATACTTCGAAATTTTTTTTTAACGTTGTGGTTCCATGCGGCATTATTAACCGAGTTCATAAAAGCGGAAACTCTTGGCCACATAAGCATAATCACTTTTTTATCCGTAACTGTAACCCACCTTTGCAGGTCTCGTTTTAAAGGATCGCAATGTAAAGCTCCATATGTTTAAGTCAGAAATATCTAAGGTGCTACTAATTGCACACAAAACTATTAGTACTTAAAACAGCACAGCAACAATTTTAAAAGTCAAAATACTATACCATTTCTGTAAAAGGTTTTTGCTCCTGAATAAGAGGACTTATGTCAGTGTCCCGGGAAATCAATAGAGTTTTATTTAAAATGTACAACAATCTAAGGTTCCTATTTTGGATAATTATAAATTTTAGTCCGAATGTGCTTAATTAATTAATTTTCAGCCCAAAGAAGGTTAGCCCAGAAGGGCTATTAATTTCGTTTTGGCATATTGCGTTGATTCACTATAAACGGCGAAGCACTCTTTAAATGGTTGCCACCAAATATTAGAACCCTGCATTATATTTAAAGAAATTAAATAATGCAGAATCTGCATAAATGTATGTACGTTTCTCGCACTGTGATAAAACGAATCTGTGATAAGCGAATCCACCCGAATCTAGAAGCCCAAATTTGGAATTTATTTTATTGTGTATTTTACATTTTGTACAGCAATTATGAGTTAAGAAACTCAACGATTTCAAAGCGAGCAATGGCAACACTGTACGGAAAGGAAAAGAAAGAAACATATTTATCTCCAGCGCGCGAGACTGTGTATCGGAAATTCTAAAAAAATGCTGTTTTAAAAATTTTGTGATATTGCTGTTGAATTTAATTTTATGGTTT